GAGAAGCTGATTTGAGAGCCATGAGTACCTCAAAGTCTCACTGCGAACAACTTTTTCAAGTTCACGATTAACTCTTCTCTGAAAAAGGAAAAGCAGGCTGCCAACCCTGACTTTAGTAACTGATAGTGAAGGGTCCAAGAATAAGATTATAAAAATGTAGATTCCAGAAATAAGAATGTAAAAGTAAAGAAATATAAAGTTGTACGCCTCGGAGAATGAGAGCAGGCTGTCAGCAGCTTGGTCAGCAGCTCAAGGATTAACTATTAACAGCAGGTTACTCCACTTTACAACTGGCTGCTCTGTTTACAAGAGTGAAGCAGCCCTCTACAAACTGATGGCCAGCTTTTAGATAACCCCCGTGACCACTCATGACGCGAGCTGAGTTAACTTTTAAATGATGGGATGTACCGTGAGTTTTGACTTTTTGGTTGTGCATTTTTCCATACCCTTCCCTGCAATGAGAAACTGGCAGTGTCATGGGAGGTGCAGAGCCTTGGTAAACACTATCAAGGGATACCAGGAAAGACAATAGATTAAGAACAAGCACTAGTTTAACTGAAAAAAAAAAAACTCTGTTAATGGAAATTGCAAAGAAGGGCAATTTGTATCTGAGTTTTACCTTGAGATTGTAAACATTCTTTTGTTATTGCCTAATTCTTGCTAAAAAAGGAGGAGTTCGGAAGCTCTCCTTTGCCACAGCCTTACAAAACCCATCTCTGGTTGCAGTCTAAGCTAGCTGATAAGCTTTTTGTGCCCCATGAAGATTTTTTTTTTAATTTTTTTCCTAGAATCTGGTTTCTGGAATCGTTTGCTTCTGGTTTATTAGACTTTAGTGGTCTGTCCCCATCTTTGCGCCACCCGTGTGGACCCGACAATAGTTTTAGCACTAACTGTGTCAGCAGAGTGATTAAAATGCACACTCTGCCATCCATCACAAACAACCTCAGAAGACTTGGAGGATTTCATCATTAGAGTTTTACCTATAGGGAAAGTGAGGCTAGGAGAAATAGTGTCTTGTGTTAGTGTCATGCAGATGGTAGGCGACAGGCAAAATCTGAAAGCACCTTTATTCATTCATTCATTTATTTATTTATTAAGACAGAGTTTCTCTGTGTAATAGTCTGGCTTTGTAAACCACGCTGGCCTGGAACTCACAGAGAGAAAGCACCTTTTGATCTAAGGACACAGCTGATGTTTTTATTGAAGTAACTCCGTCTTCCTATGGAAGCCAAAAGCAATACCACAGTATTTACTAGAGTTGGGGTTTGTGGAGAAAGCTTCCAGACTAAGCTATAAAAGGCATCACAGGTAGAGATAGGACTTCTTAGTGTAATCCAGAAAATCTGAATGGACAATGGATAAGTGGATAAAAAAAATAATATATACATACAGTGACATTTTAGTCAACCATAAAGAATGATATTACCAACTAGATGTGATGATGCATGTCAGGTATAATTCTTAAGAGGAGCCTGTCTGCCAACACAAATAATTCCAATCAGACCAAATTAGACCGAATAAAAGATGCCCACGTTTAATGCAGTGCTCCCAGATGGCCAGGAGCATGGTGAGGGGAAGAGAGTGAGGAGGAAGGAGACCATGGGAAACCCGAGACCATGTGTTCCTTTTCTGGGTGGCAGCCTCAATAGCCTGTGGGAGTGGCCCCTCTGCTTGGCGGGCTTTTTTTGACCCTCCTTGGGGAGGGGTCACTGCTTGGCAGGCTTTCCTGGAGGTGGAGTCCGGACCAAGGCAACTCTCAGGGGGAGGGGTCTTCCAAAGATGAATGCCGGGTATTATAGTGAACACTTACAATCCTACTATTTGGAGGCCAAGACAAGAGGATCGTCTAAAAAGCAAAGAAAAACAAAAGAAAACAAAAGACAGAAAATGGAACTAAGACATTTTCAAGAAAATTGATAGAACTGGAGATCATAAATTAAAAGAACGTGAAGGTAAAAGGGAGATTATTAGGGACGTGGGGGTGAATATGACCACAATATATGGCATGCATACATGAAAAGGCCATAAGGAAAATCTTTACTTTGCACAATTAGTATACGTTAATTAAAATAGTAGATGGAACATGTGACCATATTGGTGTCCGAGGACCTTGCTGCCATGGGGCCATGCCAACTGAGTATAGCCTGTGCAGCCACATGGGGCTTCACCAGGCTGGTGCCATGGGGCCATGTCTGGGTCTGTGGCCCAACAGCAGCCAGGATCTGGACTGATGTGCATGGCTGGGTTACCACAGAGGGTCATAGGAACCATGCATGTTGAAATCCAAGAGCCACGCTGAGCCAGCACTGTCCCTCACTGGCCCCAGAAGAGGTGTCCCTGCCTCTGCTGGACACTGCAACAGGTGAGCTAGCAATGCCCCTCCACAAGAGAGCTGACCCCAGCACTCAGGAGAGATGGCCCCGCCCTTCACCACAGGCTTGGGAGAGCTGGTCACAGATGACATGGGCTGAGTAGAGCTGGTTCTGCCCCTCACCTGAGGGGGCAGTCCCAATGGCCCAGCCTGACCAGCTCAGCTACCACCCAGACCCACATCCTGGGCCTTGGGTTGGCCCACCCTAGCATCTACCCCATCTATGACCTGATGGAGTCAGTGAAGGGACTGGTCCTGCAAAATGATACCGCAGGATCTCCATGACTTGGGGCAACAGCAGGGTATCTGAGAGGAGTTTTGATGAAGACCCAGTGATGATGGTGTACCAGAAACTAGAGACGTTGAACCAGACCAATGAGTCATTGCAATGAGCACTTTTACAGGTGGGACTGACTGGACACAGGGTATATATAGTGCGTGACACACTGCAGCTCCCGATGCCACTAGGATGAAGGAAGAGATATTGGAACGATGAAGGAAGAGATATTGGAACAATGGAGGATCATTTTGTTATTTGTTTGCTTTGTTTTATTTTTTAATTAATTTGGGAGGCATACTGCAGGGGTGAGGGGCAGATATGGAGGGACTGGGATGTAAGCAGGATTAGGGTGCATGATGTGAAATTTCTAAAGAATCAACAAAGAATTATGTTTAAAATAAAAAAAACAAAGAAAAGGTAGATGGATAATATTACACAAACACATTATATAAAGGCATTTTCAAAGAATAATTATTTTTAGAAAGGAAAAGGGTTGGGAATGTAGCTCAGTGGTAGAGTACTTAATTAGAATGCATGAGGTCGGCTGGGCAGTGGTAGTGTGGCCCTTTAATCCCAGCACTCGGGAGGCAGAAGCAGGAGGATCTTTGTGAGGTCGAGGCCAACCTGGTCTACAAGAGCTAGTTCCAGGACTGGCTCCAAAGCTAGAGAAACCCTGTCCAAAAAAAGGATGCATGAGGTCCTAGGTTCAATTCCAACACCAATTCCCAGAAGAAACAAAAAACAAAAAACCTGAGTGCAGCAGCCAGACAACATAGAGTCTCAGACCTTAGAGCCAACTACGAAGCAGAAAAATCTTCCCTCGTAACCTACTCTCCAAACCTTACAAGCACTCTCCAAACAAATCACATGAGTTTTTTAAACACACACACACACACACACACACACACACACACAGTTATAGCTTCTTCACAGCTCTCTGAGTACAGCACCTGCACTTTGCTGTGGATTTCCTAGAACAGGCGGTCAGGAACTAACTGCTCTGGCATCAGCATCCCCACGCTCTGCTCCTCCATGCACATCTTAAGCTGAATTCACCCATGGCAGTGCCCCAGGGAATGCCTAAGGGTTCTTTTGAGAAAATGAAAAATAGAACGCCTCTTGGAAACAGAATTCTCAGAAGCATAGGTGGGCAGCCTCTAGGGGTGTGTCTTGGGTCCAGCAGGGACAGGTTGTACCTCCACACACAACTGCAGTTTTACTATCAATCACCCTTTCCAGTTGGCTCTCAGATCAAAAGAATAATCAGACTCCCATACCACCTTAGTGGAAATCAGTTACTCTTGCTATCAAGAGAGCAGCAGTGAGTTCACAGGACTTTGGAGTCAGGGGCTCCAGCTCAGCTGATGAGAACATCTTTGGCTTGGGTGGAGCTGTCTTCAGTGCCTGCCAACAACCCCACTCCTCCCATGTCTGTCTCACTTCCCAAGAGATCCTCAAGGAGACACAGGAACAGGAAGTTTGTTCCTCGATATCTTGGGCCCACTCAGGCCTAGATACAGAATCTCAGGCAGACAAAAAAAGCCCTAGCACTAAAATCAGGCACCCATAGACCAATAGCCCCAGCTTGGTCCCAATATGAGCGTGGTTTTCCAGTTAGCACCATTGTATCTGGTGGCCTTTGGACTGAGTCTCAATCCTGAGAGTGGAAAGTTTGTTTCCAGGGGCGGAAACAGTGGGGGACCAATTTGAAGTAGTGCCAGCGGGCTAATCCTAAAACTCCAGAGACCACTGGTGGCCGTACAAAGTGGAGAGGAATGGGAGGGTTTCGCTAGATGGAAGCTCCAAGTCTTCAAGAGAAAAAAAAAAAAAAAAAAAAAACCTAAGATGTATCCCCAAGGCCACTGTGACACACAGAGAAGACAGATCAGATTCAGCATCCCAGAAAAACTATTAAAGTGCGAATCCTTAAGCTCCAAGCTCTTTCGCTCTCCAGGGTGTCGGGTGGGGCCCAGAAACATGAATTTTAAAATGCTTTCCCTAGAACCTCCCCCCTCGAGGCTTGAGAATCACTGCGTGGGTCAAGGCTGTTTTAAACGAAGTTATTCCCCCACCTGCACTGATTACTCTAAAGCTGCTGGGAAGACGTCCTTACTTGACTCAGGACTCAGGGCTCGTCCCACCCACTCCCCTAGGACCCAGAAGCTATAAGACCGGAAATAGGAGCTCTTCCAAAGTCGCTTGAGGCTAGGTGGAAGCCTGGGAGAGTCCCAGCCATTCCCACGTCAGCATCCTTCTGGGCTAGAAGAGCGGGCAGCGCGGAGCCTACCGGGAGATGTAGTACTGAACGCGGCTCCGCGCCTGCGCCTTGAGCAGTTGCCGGTGAGCTTGGGAGAGCCGTGGGCGCAGAGGCGGTGAGTCCCGGAGCGGCCAGAGGGCGTGGCTGTCCCTGGGGCGCGGGCGCGGGTAGCGGGGCTCCTTTCGCTGGCTGGGGCCACACAAACTGGCAAATTTCATATGTGCCCTGGGCGCCAGGCCCCAGGAGCAACGAGGAGCGGCGGGCCCCTATTCGTTCAGGGACCCCGCCGCCGCTCCCTGCGACCCGGCCAGGCCTTGCTGGGAGTCCTCCAGGACTGGGAGTGCCCATCTGGGTGGTCGGGCATCGTCATCTAGGAGCTTTGGGGGAACCACATCCCTAACACTAGCATCGGATTTTAAGCCAGCTTTTAGGCTTTTGGGGGACATGTCACGCCTGCCGTTTCCCAAAGCGCCCTCTTTTCTTACATTGCTTTATGGGTAGGCCCTGTGGGTGGATTCACTGAGAGAGAGAGAGAAACCACTGTTCCTTAAAGAAGTGAAATTTTCACTAGGTAGGGCCCAGGAAAGGAAACCTAGAGGGTCGCTTCCCCGGTAGACGTGGTGGAAGGTTTTGGGTCAGCCAGGGAAAGGCTAGCCAGCTGTGAGGCTGGAGAAGATTAACTGAGTGGGTCCACAGCCAAAAGACTGCAGATCCTTGGGTGTCCTCCAGCAACGGTTACACGCCTGGGCTCAGGAAACTAGAAGCTTCCTAGGAAGGAGCCTTGACCAACGAGAAACTTCACTTAAGTCTTTACATTGTGCCAGGCACGCTGCTATTCACTTTCGGTGCCATTTGGTCCTTGAAGGATATTTTAATGAAGTTGATGCTATAACTATGTGTGTGTTGCAGTCAGGGGCATGTGGGTGTGACGATTACACAGAAAATTATGCCTAACCCCTGCCACAGAAGCATAGGTCACTGTCCCGGTGACAGGAAGCATACATAGGTTACTGTCACAGTGATGGGAAGCATACATAGGTTACTGTCACGGTGATGGGAAGCATAGGTGACTGTCATGGTGACAGGAAGCATATATAGGTTACTGTCAGGGTGACGGGAAGCATGCATAGGTTACTGTCACCGTGACGCGAAGCATGCATAGATTACTGTCCCGGTGACGGGAAGCATACATAGGTTACCTGTCACGGTGACAGGAAGCATAGGTCACTGTCACGGTGACGGGAAGCATGCATAGGTTACTGTCACGGTGACGGGAAGCATAGGTCACTGTCACGGTGATGGGAAGCATACGTAGGTTACAGTCACGAAGACGGGAAGCATAAGTAGGTTACTGTCACGGTGACGGGAGGCATAGGTCACTGTCAGGGTGACGGGAAGCATACATAGGTTACTGTCACAGTAACGGGAAGCATAGGTTCCTGCCCACAGTGACGGGTGATAAGGAGTCAGTTTCGGATCAATTGACTGAACGGGAGGAGAATCGGACTATTTTTTTCTTGACTCACATCAGAAATCTTAAATAAGACAGGTATATACGGAACTGCCTCAACAAATGCAGAGAGATGGGGGGGGGTCCATAGTATACCTGTATGTACAGATATGGCCAACCCTGTGACCCCACAGATCACACTAAAATGTCTTGACACTTTTAGTTATTTCAGAAGTGTTGCATTATCCCTATTTTTTTTTTAAATCTCCCTATAGGAAAAAAGACTTGGGATTAGACTGGGGATAGGATTAAAAGCCAGCAGATCAGTGGGGGCATATAAAAAGGCAGTTACCTTTGTCATTGTAAGATATTAGCAAAGTGCTTCTGGTAATGTTATTTCCTGAGCACCTTAAATTTATGTGGCATAACTGAGAAAGTAAGTTGAATTTTTGGTTAAACTTAGAATACCATATGTTGTTATTATCATATTGGATAGCATGTTCTAGAGGATATGTGGGGGAGCTCTTGAGATTTTTAGAAATATTAGAAACTGATTGTGTCTATAGATGTTGTTCTGGGAGGTGCGTCCCCAGCTTCTATCTGACTTGCAAAACCGCCAGAAAAGACTGTGAAGTGCTCCTTTAAGTTTTTGTGGGAGAAAGCAAAGCTAAGTAAGTTAAAGACGGTGAGTGTGCCATCTTGTAACTGTTGCTTTTTCTCCTTTTTATGTTTTCCTGTCTTCAGCTGTAGGTGGCTCCCCCAGATCATTACAGAGAGGAAAAACCTGGACTCTGAGCCATAGACCCCAGATACACTGTAAAACTCTCGAAGAGGTGATGGCTGTGGCCCTGGGTTGTGCAATCCAGGCCTCCTTGAACCAGGGCTCTGTCCTGCAAGAGTATGATACAGACTGTGAGGTCTTCCGCCAGCGCTTCAGGCAGTTCCAGTACACAGAAGCTGCGGGGCCTCATGAAGCCTTCAACAAACTCTGGGAGCTTTGTTGTCAGTGGCTGAAGCCAAAGATGCGTTCTAAGGAACAAATCCTGGAGCTGCTTGTGCTCGAGCAATTCCTAACCATTCTCCCCACAGAAATAGAGACCTGGGTGAGGGAACACTGCCCAGACAATAGAGAAAGAGTTGTGTCCCTCATTGAAGACTTGCAGAGAGAGCTTGAGATACCAGAACCACAGGTGAGAAAAAAAAATGTGGAGTCTCTGTTCTTAGGGGAACAAAAAGAGGTACCCAGGCCAGGGGTCTGTAGCCATCATTTTGACTCTGATTCCACAGCCCCAAAACTTCTCCAGAGACTTTTCCAGGGTTCTCTTCTGCTGGAATCAGCATGTGGGTCTGAGATTCTCCCCTGTATCTGACCCCATGCCCTCTCTAGGACACACATATGAGAATGCCCCATTTGGTATTATTAAATGAAATTTGCAGACAGCATAGCTTATCTAGAAACATCAATTACAGTTATCCATACTCTGCTCTATGGCTTCCTAGCCAGTTCCTGTCATGGTATGATTGATTGTGACCACTAAGTTTCTAGGGGTTTTTACTTTGTTAATGACTTTCTTTTCAAAACAGAAGGAGGAGAGGATAGGGTGAATGTGGCCTGCACATTCTAAACTCTTTACTATTGTTTCTTTCCAGAATGATCTGGCTGGCATTGAGTCAAGTAGAGTCTAGAGAGAGTACAAGGAAGGCAGCACAGTTTAGTGTAAACTGATATGCATTTCTCCAGTGCATGTGATCACTGCATGGGAGGACATGAAGTGGTCACATGCCAACCCCTCTGCTTTCAATTACTGTGATGGGACAGTCAGGAATTCTGAGCAAGGCTCCAGTGCTATGAGCAGTGTTGTCCCTGGTGATGTGATTGTACAGAGTGGCCAAAAAATCAGTTCTTGGTAAAGGAAAAGAAAATCTGTGGTTTTCTCTGGTTCGCACAAAAGTTCTAAACTAATAAATGTGCAAAAGCTGTTCAGTTTCTGCCTGATCACCAGGATGTGGTTCATACTAGGTTCTTTTTCTCTACATGAAGATTTGAAGAAGGAGTCCCATGTTTGGGAGAGCGTAGGAAGAGCTCTGATTGTAAGTGATGTGCCCATTGCTGGCCCATTAAATTCCAGTAGCACCGGCTGCCCGCATATTGCCTTGTATTCAGTACCACCCCTGGACGCTTCTGCTAGGGAAACCATCAGTGAACACAGGGCAAGCTGAACACAGGGCACTTTTCCCAGAAGGCAATAGCAAGAGCTTCTGTCTGACATTCACAGTCTCTGGGGCTTGGGACACAGATTACTAGAGCAGTTGGCTTCACTGCAAGTAGTGGCTTGCCTAGGAAATCACCAAGGTCCCTGCATCCCTAGGAAGTAGTTTTCATTACTTTCCTTAGCTTCCTGGTTTGGGTGAAAATAGATGATTTTTGTCTTTGGGAGGTCTGGGCATCTCTGCACATCTCTAGAGTTGGAAACCACTCCTGGCACTTGATCACTTAAATGCACTTAACAGTGCAGCTGGATCACACTCCCCAGAGACTTTGTATGAAGGAAAGAGCAGGTGGAATAACTCACTAGGAATTATTTGTGTTGATTACTATTGAAATCCTGATACTTTGTAGATGTTGTAATAAGGCCATCCTGGTACAGTCAACTTACCTGTTGTTGGTTGATGGTTGGTTGGTTGGTTGGTTGGTTTTTTTTAGTGCATTGCCTCCCAGAACCCCTGGAGACCTTAAAGCTACATCTGTGGCTCATGGTACTGTTGGTGAGGAATGGCTGACTTTGAAAGTGGTAAACTGGCTTTAGTTCCAGTGGAGTCTCAACTCGGGAGTGATGTGTGTGGCCTCTCTCTCAGATTGACATGGATGACATGCTCTTGGAAGAACTGGCACCAGTTGGAACAGTACCCATGCCATCCACCTTGCACCTGGAGGCACCTGCGCTCCAAGTAATGGAACCTGTCCAGGAGCCCCCGGTGCCAGATGCCTGGATGCCACAAGCAGGGCCACAGGAGCTGAGCTACAGTGCTAATGGTGAATGCCAACCCTTTCTGGACCCTGGTAAGACACGACTTTTCTTTTCATTCTGGGTTTGTGTTTGAGAGCTAAAGAACTGGGAAGGTTTTGGTTTGAGTTAGAAATATGAATCCCCCAATGGCCCTGAACCACTGCCATAAAGAAGTGGAGGGCTGAGAACAGGAGGTAGATATCTTTTTCTAGGTCCCCCAGTGCAGTGAGTGATGCGCATCGGATCGAGTGGCCTTGGGAGTTGGGTATAGTGATGGCCTTGCCCAAGAGACTTTTCACCAAGAATGTTATTTGGGAAAACCTCTTGTGGGAGTTCGGATCCTCTGGTGAAAACACAGTTGTTCACCAAGTTTTGAGCCTGTGATGTGAGGTAGAGGGAGGGCAAGTTAGTTCCTTTTATGGCATGCAAAGTCCCATTTTAGAAGAGGACTTTGCAACATGCTTCCTTCAGATCCTTAAAAAGGGTGCGGTTCTTTATAGAATAAGGTGAAAAAATGTCAATTTCACCATGCTGTGGTGGCACATGTCTTTATTCTCAGCACTTGGGAGTCAGAGGTAGGCGGATCTCTCTGAGTTCGAGGTCATCCTGGTCTACAGAGTGAGTTCCAGGACAGCCAAGACAATACAGGGAAACCCTCTCTCAAAAAGCAAAACAAAAAAGGTCAATTTCATAAAAACCCTGACTAGAATGGTATTTTTAGAATGTGGTGAGGAGACCTCAGGCATTAGTTTAATACAGATAAATGCTACACACACTAGTGTTTGAAGCTCACTGACTCTGGCATAACAGGCGAGTTCTAGAAGGAGCTAGGTCCAGTAGAGAAACGCAGCTGGGCCCTGTAGCCTTTGTGCCCTTGTGTTTCCCTTCCCTTTGGGGTTCTCTGCTCCATTTCTCCCCTCACTGGCTCATGTGTGGCTGGAACCCTGACTCCTGGGGGCGGTGCATTTTGAACATGTTGGCACTTGGACTAAACTGGGTAACACTGAGACAGCAAAAGCAAACAGCAAAATGGAAATCAATGAGAACAACCCAAGTTACCAAAGCAAAGTGCCTGATGCATGAGTAACTAGCAACAGCTAAGGCCTAGAATTCCTTTTTACAATTCCGTATTATTAATTCAGCCAAGATTAGGAGCACCTGAAAAGAACCAGACCAGACACTGGGAAATTGTTGATGCACAAAGCAAAAAAGCAGCCTTCGCCATTCTGGAGCTCCAAGTCTGGTGGGCAGTTGACACATTCCATGTATGATATGGAAAGTAATCCTGGAGGGCATAGGTGACAATGAAGCACATTGAGAGACACCTTACCACCAGTTAAGAGAACTGACTCCAGGAGGAGGGGTTAGGGGGAATGCCTATGGGAAGGGACCAGGATGGGCTTGCTGAGTGAGAGCCGCGCATACAGGGGGGGAGAGGACTCTGAGCAGAAACACTAGGGCCAGAAAGAACACCTGCATCTGCACTGGGAGGGACCGACTGGAGTACGAGCCAAGCTGGTGATCATGGAGAGGAAAAAGCAATTTCAAAAATATTCAGCCTATGTGAAACATAAGACTTGTGACTGACTGACTGGTTACTGAGTAATGAACGAGAAAGGTGAAGGATGCAGCCTAAGTCTCTGGCCTTTGACCTGGGTAGATGGGAATGTCACTCATTGGTATGGAGAACTCAGAGGGAGACTGGCTTTCAAAGGTCAAGATAAGCTTAAGGTATGACCACACCAGGCCAGAATAGTTTTAAATGATGGTAAGAAAGAAAAAAGAAACACTGTAAAGTCCATACTTACACATATTGGTTGAAGCAGAACTATATAATATTATTGTTTATATTCTAGTATTTATATTGCCTTCATTTCATAGTCTGTTGAGAAGTTTAAATTTAGCTGGGCGATGGTGGCTCATACCTTTAATCCCAGCACTCGCAAGGCAGAAGCAGGCAGATCTGAGTTTAAAGCCAGCCTGGTCTACAGAGTGAGTTCTAGGTCAGCCATGGGTACATAGAGAAACCCTATCTTGAAAAACAAACAAACAAAAAAAAACCCAAAGTTTAAATTTTTGTACATATATGTTTGTAATTAATTTTAGAACTTAGCCATCCTACTCAGTTATAAGTCTATATACTCATTCTGATTTTGCATGTGATTTCTTTCTTATCTCAATATTGCACATATATAATCGCAGAGCAGTAGTATTAATATTATTAGTCATATTCATTTTCATACTTTCTAAAGCACAAGTTTCTGTCTCACTCAGTCCCAAAGCCATTCAGTCTCAAAAAACACACATAGGCTTATATTAATCATAAACTGTTTGGCCTATTGCTTACGTTTATTACTAACTAGCTCTTATGACTTATATTCCCTCATAATTCTTGTCTTTGTTTAGCCATGTGGCTTGGTACCTTTTCTCAGTGAGGCATTCTCATCTTGCTTCCTCTGCATCTGGCTAGTGACTGCATCTCTGCCTTTTCTCTTCCCAGAATTCTCCTAGCCTGGTTGTCCCACCTATACTTCCTCCCAGGCTACTGGCTAGTCTGTGTTTTATTAAACCAATATGAGTGACAAATCTTTACAATGTACAAGAGCATTATCCCACAGCACATTGACATTCAGTGTATTTTTAAAAACAGGTATAATGTATTAATGAAACAAGTATTAAATAAAAATCGGAAGAAATTAGCCTGTTTAAAATGATATAAAATGGTGCAAGACTTATTATCACATTATTTATTTAAAAGTTACTTAAAGTTTTGATTTTTAAAAAAATAAAAGCATCTCAATATTTTGCATGATAATCATTTTGGAAATTGAGTGAAAGATCATAAGATAATGGTTAGTGGGGAAATAAATGTAAAAGTTATATATGAATTTGAGTTTATCTGAAAATCTGGACCATATCCCCTGTTGGTAAAAAATGAACTTTTGGAGGATATAAGTACTGCAATTTATAATAAAATAGTCCCACACTAGCCCAGAATGGAGTATAATAAAGGTTTATTTATTTAGGGGTAGTCTCACATAAAAAGCAGTGACCAGTAGTCCTCTGCGTGAGCAGGGAACTAGAACCAAATCCAGCAGCCAACGAGTCTCATGTGCCCCTTTATCTGCATATATAGTACATATGACTATGGCCAAAGTGGGCCAGCATCCCAAAGGCCATTGGCTGAAGGAGTTTCCACAGCACCTCCCCATTTTGTCTAAATAAGAGTTCCAAACCCAATACAAAACTATATATAATAGGAAAAAATATCAAGTATAAAAATTAGAATTACAACAAGCATAAACAATATCAAGCAAGAAACATATGCTAAATGTTTTAATAGTTATCCTATTCTAAGCAGCCTAAGTCTTATATTAGAAATGGCTTGGTTAAGTCATGAGAGGAAAGTAACTATGGCTATCTAGTCTTCAACCCCATAAAAGTCCTGAAAAGGGAAATAATATTACTTGAGTAAACAGGAAGCACAATCAAGCAACTTCCAAAAGGTGTAAGAAATGACAGAGATAACAGGCTACCTGGGCAATCACCCAAAGTCTCATTTGCAACACTGGAGCAACCATCTTTGGCTAAGGTCTAAAGTATCTGACAGACCATTTTCAGAAGCAGGAAAATTTTCAAAACTGTCTTACCCTGTTTTGGCAAGGTTTGACAGTGTTTTTGCTTGTATTCTGCTTGTCCAGTCTGGACACCATGCATTTTGTCAGCAGTTGAGCAGGGGCAGTTCTTTGTTCAAAGGCCAGTTTTACCAAGAAAACAAACTCCAAGTGGAGTGTCTTCGGTGCCCAACATTCTCTCAGGAATAGATTGGTGCTGCCAGGAGCAATTGTGTCTCACATCAACAGAATACTAAGTTATTTAAATGCCATGTTTTACAGCTCTTTGAAGTGGATGAAGATTATCTATCTATGCAGAATATAATCTGTATGTAACTAAAGTACCTGACTAGTATAACCATAAGTATGACAAACAAGGATGACTATTGTTCTATAATTCTTAATACCTATTAGCTTAAAGACTAAGGCTTTATATTAAAATAGTAAAAAAACTTTAAACAACTGTGAAGCAAATTGGGACAGTGACCTCCAAATGTAAACAATATATAAATATTTTGATCAGAGGTAGAAATGTATAGTGCAATATGATAAATATATTCTAAAATTGTATCAGTATACAAAATATCTTAAGCAGAGGTAGAAACATGTATGCATACAATATGATAAAATAACTTTGCATAGGTACACAAATGTTGTAAAAAGAAATAGGAGAATATTCAATATAACAAATATAATTTGAATTTGTATCAATATACAAGAATCTATACCAATATAAGTTTTCTATAAATAATAGCTTACAAGTATTCTCACTATCACTATTATTATTAGTGTGAGTAAGCTCACACTAATCTACCTATTATCCCATCCAATTCCTTTTTTGCCTTAAGATATCCCTTATCCTACTTAATTTCCACCCCCAACTGTATACCACTTATAATCAACCCCAATAAATGTCCCTAACCCTGAGGACAAACTTTGTTGGGAGAGGGAACGTCGTTTTCTAGAATTACTTCCTGCTCTCATGGGAGTGATTTATTTCTATGGGATCCTGTAAAAAGTAAAATGATGGTTAAGTTCTAAGATTACTGTCTGGTGTAATTGCAAATAGTTTCTGAGTAGTCAGTAGGGCTTTTTGAAGTTATGTATATGTATAGGAGTCATTTAATCATAGTCACTAACCTATTGCCACATTTGTTAATTGCAAAATTAAGAACTTAAATGCAAACTACAAATAGAGCTAACAAAGACAAAAGCTTTAAGAATCCCTCATTGCCAGGTGGTGGTGGTGCTCGCCTTTAATCCCAGAATGTGGGAGGCAGAGGCAAGCGAATCTCTGTGAGTTCAAGGCCACCCTGGTCTACAGAGCAAGTTCCAGGACATCCAGGACTGTTACACAGAGAAACCCTGTCTCAAACAAACAAACAAAGAAAAAATCCCCACATTTGGGACTGGAGAGATGGCTGAGTGCTTAAAAGCTT